CCGCCGCCGTGACCGCCCAAGGGGCCGCCACAAGGGCAAGCTGACCGTCGACGCCCGCCGCCAGACCCCCCGGGCGCTGGGATGCCCGAAAGCCGCACCTGTGAGCTGGATCACGACCGTCCAGGAGGGTAAAGACACCGGAGCTAAGATGAACTCTGGCCATATCGGCCGTTAATAAGTTAAGATTAGTTTTAAGTTAGTTGTAAGTTTATTCATGTTACTGGGCTTCACCCACACCCAATGGACGGGCGTGAAGGAGTGTAGTGGTGCTCAAGCGAAGTGCGGCGGGCGTGAAGGAGTATAGTGGTACTCACGCGAAGTGCGGCGGGCGTGAAGGAGTGTAATGGTACTCACGCGAAGGGAAGGTGCGGCGGGCGTAAAGGAGTGTAATGGAACTCACGCGAAGGCGTAGTGCGGCGCGCGGAGGGGGCGCGCGGGGCCGGAGCGCGTACGACAGGCGAGCGGTGGGACGCGCACGTCGAGGCTCAGGCCGGAAGAGGGCAGCAGACGGCGCGCCAGGCCGCGCAGCGCAGCCTCCACTTTGGCGGCCGAGCAGGCGGTGGGCACGCACACGCCCCACTCGCCGCGAGACAGCTCGGGCACGAAGCCCGGCGATGGCACCACCACTCCGTTGCCCTGCGCACGGGCATTCAATTTGGTGAATTGCATGTACCCAAAGAAAGAGAGAGGTCATGTGATGACGGTGAAAGCGAAGACCGTTAGAAGATATTTGACATTCTTGAATGATACAACACAATGTAAAGAAAATTACGAAATACTGTAGCGAACTTCGAATTTTTTTCGACAGAAAAATTCGTTTTGTGGAAGCTTCGTATCGTAAAAGTGTAATGAGCAAACGTGACTCAAGGCATCAAGTGATATCACTGCAGCGCCTCTGACGGGGAAGATTTTTGACTCTAGCTTGAAAAACTAGGACGTCCTGAAAGTTAGCAGGACAATTTCATCCGATCACAAAACAGCATAGTCCATAATTAGCCGCTTTTTTGCCGTTTTAAAGATGTGAAAAAAAATTGCCGCGGGTCATTTTTTCAAACAAATCTGTGTTCATGCTAACTTCCAATGGAAGTTAGCAGGCCCACACCTCTAAATCCGCTACTATTGCATGTATATAAACAAAACTGTACTCCAAATTGCCGCTTTTTATTTATCAGTTAATAAGATATCAGGACATTTTCTAAAACTACAAGAATTTAGAAACATATCCGTGAAAAATATAAAGTTTCGTCGATTCATGGATCGATGAAATTTTCCGATTTTCGACATGTCACCGATTTTTCTGTAAACCACGAACCTAGCACGAAATGTTATGGCGAATTTACTGGTGATACCCATTTTTCGATTAGAAGCTTTGTTTTTTAGAAAGTCGCCAAAATATCGCCATAAACTTTAATTTCTTCCCAATAGCAGTGTAGAAATATTCGCTTTCAAGCATGTTCTGATTATAGTAGAAACTACATTTAAAACTCAAACGAAAGTGTACAGCACGTACAATCTCGTGCGCGAATTTCAGCGCTGTTGCTCTAACAGTTTAGGAGATAGAGCCATTTGAAATTGGCTATTATTTTCAGAGCTTGCAAGATGCGAAAATACAAGGTTTTTAGTTATTGGTTCCCAGAGGCCACATTTCTCATCCGTATATGATAATGACTTTTTCTAAATCTACAAGAATTTGTAGTGCTGTACTCTTTCATTTGAGTTTTAAATGGAGTTTCTCCTTCTATGCCTCTGTCTATGCTACCTTCCAATGGAAGTCAGCAGGACCACACCTCTAAATCCGCTACTATTGCCAGTGTATACACAAAACTGTAGTCCAAATTTGCCGCTCTTTATTTATAGACGATTAGCGAAGAATTCAAACTGATATCTCCATTTTTTCAAAAAATATTTACAAAAAAACTACAACAAAAAATGAAAGCAACGCTCCTCTTGCAAGCGCATTCGAAGAAGAAATGAGACGTCACCTGTAATTCATTAGCCGTAACAATTCATACTCTGCGCCAAAATTTGCCGTAAATCAGTGCTAAACATATTCTCTAAACAAAACTTTTGCCTCGGACCGATTCGACTCAACTACCCGGGTTCGAATCCTAGAGTTTACCCACTTACAAGAGCTCTGCACAACTAAAGACGTACGTTCCTCCTAAACCATAAGCCATAAAAATTATTACTCTACGCCAGAATTTGCCGTAATTAAGTACTAAACATAAACTGTAATAAAAAATTTGCCGCGGACCGGTTAATTTCAAATACGCGGGTTCGAATCTCACAATGTCCCTCTAAGGAACGTCCTCCGCAGGTAAAGAAGACCATTCCTCCTGAACATGCAGCAATAACAACACATACTCTACATCAAACTTTGACGCAAACAAATACTAATTACAATCCTGCGCAAGTTAAAGAAACCGCAGCCATAACATTTCATTATCTACACAAAAAATAACTCAAAAAAATACTAAATATAATTTGTAAGAAGCAAGTGTACTGCTAACCGGTTAGCTTTAATTACCAGGGTTCGAATATCTGATTTTGTCTAACGAGTGCCTGGCCACATTAAGATGTCTGTTCCTAGTAAATAATGAGGCATAATGAAGCATACTCTACCTCAATATTTTTAAAAAAGTGCCGTGTTCGAATCCCAGAATTGTCTCTCTTCTTCAACATGATCTTATTTGAATATCTATTTTTGGTGAATACATTTCGTTAAGAAAAAACGTTTCATCTTCATAGTTATAGTATTGTACAAATGTTAAGACTCCGAACAAATTTTTGAAATTTTTAACATACGAAAAATATGTGATTTAACGAAAATGAGACATAAACCATTCATGCAGGTATCTGCATACAGTTCATTCGTAATGAATCTTCAGAAAGACCAGGAACAAACATTTAGTAGTACCTTAGAATAATCGCAAACCTGAGAACAAGTAAGTGTGTGGCGAATATGTTAGCTTTTGTATCGTCTTATATTTTAGAACAAATTACAATGACTGTACATAGTCATTTGGTGTGCATAACCTTTTACTTTTACTAGGAAGTAAATGAAGGGAAAAGATGTAGGGAAAAGAAGTAAATATTTGTTGGAGAACGGTGGGGAAATCGGTTCATACTCGTATCGTGAGGAGCGAGTTCGTGAGGGTTGATTGCTCAGCTGATTCAGTTTATTACTGTGATCAGGAAAGAAA